GGGACTCCAGGATCATGACCTGAGCCGAAGGCAGTCGCTTAACCAACTGAGCCACCCAGGCGCCCAAGTCTAAAGTTTATTAAAAGAAATGGCTTCCGGGGTGCCTGGGTGGCTCAGTTGTTGAGCGTCTGCCTTCGGCTCAGGTCACACAATCTCAGGGTCCTGGGATCGAGCCCTGCATCAGGCTCCCTGCTCCACGGGAAGCCTGTTACTCCCTCTCTCACTCCCCCTGCTTGTGTTCCCTCTCTCACTGTGTCTCTGTCAAATAAATAAAATCTTTAAAAAAAATAAATAAATAAATGGCTTCCTTCTTTGGTTGAATACACAATATTTCAAATTTGGAAAAATTTAATGAAATTACATTTTCTTTAATGTGATCAAAACAGAAGAACTGCAGGATAATAAAGCTGATTTTGATTTGCTCTTTTTACCTGAGTAGCTTTATCTTTCATGCACGAAGGGTAATGAACATGAGGATCCCGTGGCCACTGTCCTGTGAGGTAAGGTCCTGTTATCGTGTCCAAAGAAGAGGTTCGTCTGATTGTACTAGAGTTTCGAACTTGCTGAGCTTTTGGCCTGTCCACTATAAAAAGTGAAAAAAAAAATGAGATTAGTCACTGACAAATTACATAAAATTTAAAATTATTTAAACTTCATAGCTTAAAGAGAATGTTGATTTTCCCTAAATATGTATTTACCCTAACAGCTCTCTTATATGACCTGATGAAATGTATACACCCTCTCTGAAGGAAAATATGTTCACATATTAAATCTTGCATATCCTTCCAGGGCTGTTACAGATGCTATGAAGCCCACCCATTTTAGAGACCTATTCTAAAATCTACCGATCATCTTCACTGCCATTACTTTAATTAAGACTCTCCCATGTCTCACCCGGACTGCCAGTTTCCTAACTGCTATCTCTGCATCCATCTCAATTAAATCTTACAGGGCTACCTCCCAACACCACCAAAAGAACATTTCCATGGTTAATCATTGTCTTTAACTTAGAGCCTGTACTTTTCACAATTTGGCTCCCATAGACCTCAGTGTTTAATGTCTTGCTACTCCTCTAGAAATCCACGTTACCTACAAAGTGCCAAATGAACTAATTGCAGTTTCCCAAATGTAAAACACTCCCTTGCCTGCCTCTATACATTCTATTATTTAATGAGCCTCGAACGCTTTCCTTCTTTGTTAAGTTGACAAACTCTTATCTCCCTGACCGGCTCAGGTGTCACACCAACTCTGTGAAACCTCTCCCAGGGCTTTTCTTTCTCCATCTCTGTCTTTAGTTTAAGATACATGTGTCCAGCTCTGCTTGCATGGAACCTTAAGTTTGTCTTTCTCCCCAACCAGAACATAAGTTTAAAAGTCTCTACAAACTGAAAAGGAGCCAATGCTCAATACTTATTTGATCAATTTATTCACAGCTACACAAAAATAATGGGTATAAAGAACTCTATATTTTAATTCAATTTCCTCATTTATGTATGAAGAATCTGAAGCCCAGAGGGATAAAACTGAATTGTCCAATGAAAGAGAACTGCTAACAGGAGACAGAGGTAAAAAGGAAGCAAGATCTCCAGACATTCTATACCATTCAATCAATCTACTGTAACAATCTACTTCTCTCCATTTGGATACTGTAAGTACCTCTGTTGAAAATTAAAATGATCATAATGAACTCTGTAGTTTCTTTACAAAGAAATTATAGAGGGTTTTTCATATATACATCCCCACTAATTTACCATCGATGTGCTTTCCTATAATAAAATCCCTTGAATTACAAGCTCCAAGGCTCAGAGTCTTATTCAGGGTTATAGCTCACATCGAACTAAAATGCCTTGCACATTACAAACAGTCAAGAAACATTTGTTATTGAACGCTGTCCTTTAACTATCTTCCTGAAGCCAGAATACATAAGTAGCTTTCATCAGACAACAAAGCACAGCATACTTTGGTGTTACATTACTTACGTATCTTAAAACTGCAGTTTTGATTTCTTCTTTAACCCAAGAGAGTTAGAGAAGATATAAAAATTACAAATTTCCTCCCTATCTTTATTACTTAGCTCTAATTTCATTTCACCGTGGGCAGAGAATTGAGGATGACCTATTTCTATCTACTCTGCAATTACCTGAATTTTCTTTATGACCAAAACATGATCCATTTTTATAAACATTTCATGAGTCATGGAGAAGATATATTTTCTGTTTTCAGAATATATAGCTCTTTGTCTTGTACATCAACTGAAATAAAAATATAGAATACAGGAATAATATAATTACCAGTGGATCTGTCACAGATTTAGAAGAGAACTCTCAAATTTCTAAACTACTATTGAGAACTAGTAATTCTCTTTCTTTCTTACAATTTATTTATTTGAGAGAGAGAGAGCACGAGCACGGGGGGAGGAGCAGATGGAGAGGCTGACAAGCAGATTCCATGCTGAGCATGGAGCATGACACGGGGCTTGATACCAGGGACCCTGAGATCATGACCTGAGCTGAAATCAAGAGTCAGATGCTCAACCAACTGAGCCACCCACATGCCCCTCTTTCTTGCAATTTTTTATCATTTATATTTTAGTTCTATGTAATTTGACACATACTGATTCATGATGTCATCATCATGGTTTGCATACTTCACCATTATAATCTGTTCCATTTATCACTTTTTAAACTCTTTCAAATTAAACATTATGACCCCCTTCTCTCTCTATTATAATTTGCCTGGTATGCCTATTCTTTAATTTTCAATTTCTTTCAATCATTCTGTTTATGTATGTCTCTTGTATACAGTATATAAACTAGGCTTTTTGAAAAAAATACTTAGTATGCCTTATTGTAGAAAGTTAATTTATCCCACTTATGTTATTGCTATAATAAATTTAACTTGTCATGTAACTTTTTTCTTCCTATTTGTAATGCTTCCTTGCTACATGTCCTCTGTTTCACTGTTTTTTTTCTTCTCTCTTCTTGTCATAGCTAGTATCTATGCAGACTGTTTATAGTAGTAGAAGTTATTTCTATTAATTCTTTCAAGTATTTTTTTTCTGGCTATAAAAGCAATACCCACAAATATTAGCAACTCTGGGAAACATGTCTCTCATAATCTAATTTATAATAATTTGTTTAAAATTTTTAGAAGTTACTTTATATTCCCTCCACCAGGAGGACACAAAAGACAAAAACAGATTATCCCTTTAAAAAAACCAACATTTATAGCAGTACACTACTAAATTAAAAAAAAAAAAAAGGTCCTACATAAAGGTCAGCTATAACCAGGAAAAGAAGAACCATTAGATGTGAAAAACCCGTGCCTACACTTAAATTGCTCCAAACTATTAAAATGTTGTATGTACTCTACTTACAGCTATTAAAACTTCGCCTAACTTGGAAAACAAACTATTGGGTCCATTTTAATATTTTATAATGAAGAATCTATATAAATAGGCCTCTTAGTCTGTATATTTTAATTTATATTTAGTAACTCTTACTATTTAATCACTGGACTTTTGCCTATCACTCTCAAAAGATCACATGTTCTCCTCTTAGTATCCATTCTATATGATTAGCTACTTTGTCAGAACTGTGGTCTTCAAGCCATTTTGACTAAGTACTCCTATTGGTAAATAGGTAAGCATGTAGCAACATGTGTAGTCATTTATTTATAAATGTGGTATGTACTAAATTACTAATATGCTAAATATTATAAAACAGACAAAACATACATGATATGGAATAAAAAATTAAAATATACATGTATAAAAAACAAATTATGTTTTCTCCTTGTATCTCAATAGATGGTCTCACTCACTTTAATGGACTGAAACTGGGTGCTAGACTCAATGCATCAATTGGCCACTTAGCTCTAATTTCATGTTTTACTACCCTACTGCTTAATTGAGTTAGGAATGTGTAGATAAGCACCAGACATTACCAACACCAAAACAAACAAATAAACAGGTCTGCCTTAAAAAGAAAAAATAAGTTAGGACAACATAGTATCCATATCTTGTTACAAGATTTACTCTACCAGTCATCATTTTTTTAGGAAATTAAAGTATATGAGGCAAATATTCTTGAAAGGTCTTATTTCAATCATATTCTTTAAAATAAAGATTCTCACCACAGCTCACAACCAGGAAAATTTCAAAGACATGGTATTATTAATTTCCACATTTTTTGAAGCGTAAAAATTCAGAATAGGTTTGAAAATTGGCAAGGAGAGCTTCTTCCAGGATATGATTAGTCATAATAACCCCATCTATCAAATATCACGAAAGCCTCAGATTTAACAAAAGGTCGATCATAAACGATGCAATTCTATTCCAACAAGATGACCTGTTACTATTATCCAAACTATCATGGCAATGAGTTAGTCTTTAACTGTCTCAACATCTAAGCCCTGATTCTCACAAATTTTTGTTTATTTATTTCATGGTATCATCTCCTACCAATTCAGGTTTTACAATGTAGTGCAATAAGGAAAATCAACACTGGTTTTACATAATTTATATACTCAACACAACAAATTGTTTATTTCATGATTACAGTTGTGATTAAAATATGTATTTAGTTTTGAATCGGGTAATCACAGTATTTCTCTACTAAATACAAAATTACCTCAATTCAAGTTAGATCAAACAAGAGGACACCTTATGAGCTAGAAACAAGCATTACTATAGACAATCTTTGAATTAACTTACAAGAGCTTGAATAACTTAATAGAATTGCTAAAATAAATATTGAATTATACTTATGTAAAGTATGAAAGAAAATCAATTAAATAAATACTATCATTACTTAAGGTAAAAAGGCATCAGAAAAACAGTACCTTCATAAGTGGTGAAACCAGGTAATCATTATTACTAAAGAAAACTTGCTAAATGTCTACCATATGGAAAGTACTGTTACATGTACCAAGGGAAATTACAAAATAAGTTTCAGACTCTCTTCAAGGAGTTTATATACTGGTTGAGGGAGATATGATACATATAATTAAACCATAATATAATGCAGTATATGCACAGCAAGTGCACACCAATGAAGGACAGGAAGGCAAAAAGGCAAAAAATAAATTACTCAGCAGGTAGCAAGAATATAGCTCTCCAATACACCAAAGGAGTAGTAAGAGTTTTTGCCATGCTACTTACCAGTCCTGTTGCTAATACCCTTACTTAAATATTTGAGGATAAAATACAGAATAATTAACTTCAGCAAAAAAAAAAAAAAAGGAAAAAAATAATCACATCCATTTCCAGTACTATCATCCTTATATCAGAACCAGAAAATGACTGTTGATAGCAACAATCTGTAGAAAGTCTTCCTCATTACATTCATCTACAGGTTGCACTTTCCAGCCCTTCTTTGCCTCCCTGAATAGAAAGCCACATGGCAGGAGCAGTTGGTAGGCCTGGGGCTCCTCAGGGACCTACTGAGGATTGTACAAAATAATTCTTGCTCTCTAACAACTGGAAATTCAACTTTAAAGTAATAATAATGAAATAGGTTTAAAGGCAAGAAGCTATATATTAGGTAACCCTAATAGCATTTGAATTTGTATAGCAAACTAAGC